TATTATTTGTGTCCTTTAAAGTTAGTAATTCACATTATTACAACACTATAACCATCTAATATTTGCATTGGTATCAGTTTTTTTACTTCTAATAAAAATAATATTTGCTTGTTGAAAAAATATGAAAAGATAAAAACCAGAATGCTTTCGTTATATTTAATTGAACAAAAAATTGCAGAAAATCGTAATAAAAGAAAAAATAGTTTGACTCTCCAAATAATAGTAGTGTTGCATAAATTGTGACAATGAAAGAATAAAAAATAAAAAATTAATTAAGGAGACTTATTTATGTTTTCTTACTTTATGTTAAGTTGTTATCTTCTACTGGTATTAGTACCCGCGCGATGCGCGGACACAAACCATGTCAAAACTAACTTGGGTTATTTGAATTCTGTGAAATATCCTTAAAATATAAACCTTCCAGATAAATATTATATATAATCATTAGATATTAATTAAGAAGCATGACATGAAACTATTTCTCAAATCTCATTATCGATAATCTATTTTCTTTTCTATATTTGTTACAACCCAGCCATCGATTATAGTACTTGCATTTCGTTTCACTATCAATATTAAAGAATACTAAACATGTCATATCGTGATATGTCTTGTTTGAGTATATTAGATAATATTATTTTAATAAAATTCTTACTACTATTTATTTTATTTTTTAAAATTAAAATAAGTCTTACTCTTCTATATTTCACAACTTTTTTTTGTTCTTTGCTTATAGGTATTGTATTATTTATTACTTAATACNGCTTTTATCCTCTTACTCAAAACTCTTTTATCATTTAAATCTATTAATAATATTTTAAGTATTAATTTAATTGTTAATTTATTTATATTTAAATTAATTCAAAGTAAGTATCTTCACATTATCTTTATTTTCTCTTTATACATTCTCTTTCCTACTATGGAATTTTTTATTTTTTTTTACATTAATAGTTGCCTATAATTAAAATAATATATATTTTATTGTAAACTGTAACTTTGAATTGTCTAAAATATCAATACATAAGTTTCTTTGATTATTATCTTCCAAATATATTGAGTTTTCTTCAATTATTTTTCTTATTACATCCAATTAAACTTTCTTGCTCTTTTAGTTTCAAGATACAAATTTGACTTTTAATAATACAAATTAGGCATTTATTTTGTATTATTAAATTTTGAATTTGTTATCAACTTTTCTAAAATCTAGTAAGACTTCAAAATTCATAGTCATATCCATAGTTTGAGCGTTCTCATCGTAAGTTTAAGAACTTTGTAATTTTAAGTTCAAATAGTCTTTTCCTTCCATTTTAATATTAAATTTTTAATTATTTTCCTTAATTTTGCTATTTTATTGTTTAATATATAGTATTATCATATTTTCATGTAACTTTTTATTAACTTGTCACTTTATTTAATATTATTATTCATTACTATCCTTTATTATAATGTAGATAGATATTGTAATTTTGTTGTCTTGAAAAAAAAAATATTGCTCGTAATTCGTAAATTGTTTAGTTTTATCAATAATATTTCTAAGTATTGTATATTTACTTTATTTTATTTCTAAACTAATTCTTTGTTTAAATATCATCTCTTTAGCTATAATTTATTTTTATTTTTATTTTATTTATTAGACTTGAATTATGTGGCCTTACCCACGACATGACCTTTCTTATTATAATAAACAAAAATACTTTCTCATCTAAAATTTAAATAAATTTAATCCTATTTTTCCTTGTGACGATATATTTGTTTTTAAAAAAAAATATTTTCTCTATTTGTTCTTTAATTTGCATTATAACTAAGGAAAACTCCATAACGAAATACTAAAAAATTATATGATTCTGAAATTACATTTATCTCAATTCAAGTCATGTTTTTGCTAATTCACCATAACTTTTTTGTCAACATCAAGTTCATTAGACAATAAAAAAACAAAAGAATTACAACGAAAATATGGTAGGGCAATCTAGGTAGAATTTTAATATCTTCTCCTCTCTTAGCTACTACTCGATCAATATTTAATTTAAAATAATTGTCTCATCGTAACTCATCTATAACACTTTGGCGGTGAATGGTTTATCTATCTATTTAGGAAAATACTTCAGACGCTACTAACAATAGACATTTGTATTGCATCAAAATTTACCCAATTTGTTATAGTTTAAAAAAAATAACAATAACTAAAAACTGTACTCAAATGACAACACTAGTGTACGAATAATATTGTGCTCTTGCCATGTATATATATACTAGTATCCGTACCCGAGCGTTGCGCGGAAAGTATTAAATATAATTTGTTCATACCAAAATATTACTTTAAAAATACGATAGACAAAAAGGAGAATATAAATACTATTATTGTATGAACATGTAAATGCACTGTCAGTGTACTGTATGAACATATGGAATAGTGAATTGCATCACAAAACCTTATAGCAATCCTAGGGAGTCTCTACAATTTACTGTTTTCACATAGGTCTCTCAAATGGTGTTTGAGTATACAATAATAGTCTTCTTTATTCAATTGCAATTGGTCTCTGAATCCCTTGTAAAAAAAAGCGAGAGTATTAATGATAGTAGTTAAACTTTGTATGGAATTTTTGAACACAGTTGCAGGGAAGAAACTTTGTATTATAGTTCCATTGTATAAGTACAATTTATGAGGAAAAAATGATTATCCATATTCATATTCACATGCTCATAAATAGTCCTAATAAAATTTGAATTTTTAGAAAAGATATACAATGTTGTTTTAAACTACAAAAGTTTTCTAAAATGAACTTATCTTCTCTTTACTAACTGATGTAATCGGAGTATCAGTATCTCAACCAAAACCTGAAATACCATAAAGTAAAACAAAAGTAGAACCATGAAAATGCTCCTCTAAGGGTTTCCCCGCGATCATAACCAAAAATTTGGAAAATAGTTGAAAAATTATACCGTTCATATCTTAACATTGTTTAGACAAATACATCACACATACACCACTTGCAAATGTTTTTTAACCATTTTTAAAATATATAATCATGTTATTTCCTATATATCCGCCACTGCTTCATACCATTAAAATACTTCTCCCCACTGATTTTACACCAATTGCATAGTTAGACACATTCCAAAACAAATAATTATTGCTAATATTCCCTAGAAATGATTAGTTTTGGTCTGTTTTTATTTTGAAAGAGTAAATATGCGATCTTTGAGCAAACTATCAAATGCATTACATTAATGTTTAAAATGAAAAAGGATTCAGCTTGTAGTAATTTTTGTATTTTTTCAAATATTGCAAGAACATGACCCTCTTGTAGTAATTTTCAAATGTCGGCTCAAAAAAGCAATAGGAGAAGATATATTAGTACCATAAAAATGCATAATAAAAATAACAACAATATATAAGAGATATGAAATACAGAAATACGAAATACGAAAATACGAAATAGATGGTTGGTATAAGTATAACTAGAAGGTAAAGCCCTGCATCAATAGACGACCAATGACCTTCCTAGTCTAACTCCTAACTGGATAGTCTCACTCTATTGTGCTGTAGAAATATTCACACTCTTCCCTAACCTACAACCTTAATGCTCGACCTCCATAATTCTCTATCAAGGGCCATGTCCTCAGTAATCCTAAGTCGCGCCATGTCCTGACATTATATTACAACCTGAATGTCATCATATTGAATAATAAAACTTTTCCACCAGCAGCTGACATTACATAAGAGTCATTCTTTAAAAAGGGCTATGCAAGGAACAACCTCTTTCAAATTGACACCTGAGACATCATTAGCCATAAGAAGACCACTGTTCGGTTGCCAATGTTATGGAACAACATTAGCAGTGGCCTTTAAGACCCCAAGACATTGCTTACAGCTGTTAGTTACCCCAAGACATTTCAGAAATATGTAGCTAAGATAGCTGTTAGTTAATCCTTATGACCTTACCACTTGGATTTGCTCATTACAGGCCCACTTCCCCAGCTTTTGAGTACCATTTTAACCAAGTGCCAGGACACCAACACCAGAATTTGTATAAAGAAGTCATGCAACCTAAATACAAGTGCCAGTTGAAGGATTACATGTTGAATCACATTACACAAGAAGTGCACACAAATGAGATAACGCACCTTGTTACTTAAATCTGAGCTCTCAGGCATGGTAACCATCATGCATTTATCTAATATTCGTATCTGCGTGTTGTATTTTTTTTTATCACATCACCAGATAAGTTGCTATGCAGCACTTCATGTACTTGGTCCCCCAGGGGGGAGGACCAGAAACACTTCCAGCAGAATTGCTGTAGTGAAGAATTGATGTTGCTGTTAGCACTTGTGAAGTGAAACGCGTTGAGGCGACAATGTAATAGTCCTGCCCTGGTTGGTCCATTGTGACCCAAATGAATATCAATGGACTCATAGGTATTCTGCAGGGTGTGAGTTCCTTCTACTTCAACCAAAACCATCTTGTGCCCATGGATTCTGAAATTGATAGCTGTTGTGAGGCCAACATTTGAAATACGGAATCTGTAAGTCCTTCCTGGAAAGTAAATTTATCGGAAGAATCCTTTGTTACTACAACATAAAAGCAAGAAATGCACTATTAACTTAGCAAGAGTTGATGCAATTGATCACCTTGATCAACTGTGAAAGTTAAAACTATTTGATCCGCGACCGTTGATTAGAAGGCCATCAGGAAATGGAAGATCACTTCCTCCATCTAAAATCGCCTTAAGAACCTGTGACATGTGCAATAAGATTCAGAGTCAGTTGATCAATCCATAAAATGTTTCAAGAATTGGTTTTCATAAGCTACTCACAGTTTTTATAAACCAATAACAGAGAATCACAAACTGATTAAAAAAGTTATCCAAAAGTACAACATACCTATTAAATGTTTCAGGAATGAACGCAAGAGCTGCTATTTTTCCATTTGGTTCATGAATCTTAGCAAGAGATGTAGTATATAAACCTCAAAAATAACATTGATTATCTTTGGATAGTCAGATTAAATTTTGAAAAACTTCTTTAAATACTTCATTTGTAGCTTCAGTACTTATTTGTCCATCGTCATCATAAACCAAAACTTTTAATCCTTTTCTAGTTGTAACCCGGGAAAGAGCAACATATAGCTGTCCGTGTGTAAACATTGGTTTCTTCAAAAATAATCCCACATGAGACAATGACTGTCCTTGACTTTTATTGATTGTCATGGCAAAAGATACAGCGATTGGAAATTGTCTTCGCTGGAACTTAAATGGAATTCTAGCATCAGACGGAGTCAATGTCATTCTAGGAATAAACACTTTCTGTCCAGCCATATGTCCTGATAGAACCTTGGCTTCAATAACTTGATTTCCAAGTCTAGTTATGATCAACCTTGTTCCATTACACAATCTTGTTGACTGATCAATATTTCTTAATAACATCACTGGTACACCAACTTTTAGAGTAACAGTGTGATTTGGAACTCCGGAACATTTAATAGTATTCAAGAATTCTGGTGTATGTACATGTTCTAACGCTGAATAAGTCTGATCAGAACTGCAAATTGTATCGGAACTCAAATATGATTTCTCATAACTATGATTGAGTGAAATCATATATTCATTGATTGATTCCACCATATCAAGAGTTGGAGCAAGAATGGCTCATTGTTGGAGGTATCCAATAACATTGCAACGATGGGTGAAATCAGGATAAGTATTTTCTATAATTGCATATATTGGATCAAAAGATTGTTTTATCAAAAGATCATCTGGTATTTGAACTTTTTCATTGCCATCAACTGAACTACCAATCATACCATCACCAATTGCTAAAATCCAATCTGAAAAATCTCTCAACTCATCCACATGGGACCCTATTTCGTTACTTTGCAATCTCATATTCTTTCTTAGCGTTAAAAGTTGACAATAAGGCCATAAATAAGAAGAATTAAGAGAAGCATTAACAATATCTTGCCTAGTACCTTTTGGAATGACAGGTAATATTTGTCTGAAGTCACCATCAAGAACAACTATTTTACCTCCAAATGGTCGTTCTAAACTGGATGCATCTTTGAATCTAAGAATATCTCTTAGAGTTTTATCAAGAGCCTCAAAACAATATTTATGCATCATAGGTGCCTCATCCCAAATAATCAACTTTGCCATGACAATCAAATTTGCTAAAGGAGTACCTTGCTTGATATTGCATGTTGAATCTTCAGTTAGATTGAGTGGAATTACGTGGGTCAATCTTCATATTAACTGAATAGGAGTGGCTCAAAAAAATGTGGGATTCCATGTTCTAGTTAACTGCCGAAGGTTTACAAAATTTTACCAACAACTTTTATATGTTAATTTTCAGGTTTAATAAATAATTTAAATTAACTGCCAAAAACGTTTTTTGTGTGTAATATTTTGGGAGAAGTGCACGGTTGGCCACTAATAACACATGTATTTAATTTTAAGTCACCGTTTAAAATGTCTTTAGTCTTTAGACACTGTTTTAATAAACTTTAATTGTCCAGACGAAAATACCCTTCTGCTCATGTCCTTAACTTCAAGACTTCAGGACTACATGTCCTTAACTTTTGAACTTGTAACTCTAAGTTCAGGACTACATGTCCTTAACTTTTGAACTTGAAACTCTAAGTTCAGGACTTCAAAGCTACATGTCCTTAACTTTTGAACATGTAAGTTAAAGTTAAGGACCTATTGTCCTTAACTTTTGAACTTGTAACTGTAAGTTAAGGACCGCTTGTCCTTAACTTTTGAACGTGTAACTATAAGTTAAGGATTGTCTGTCCTTAACTTTTGAACTTGGAAATCAAAGCTAAGGACCTGTTGTCCTTAACTTTTGAACTTGTAACTTTAAGTTAAGGACTGTCTGTCCTTAACTTTAGAACTTGTAACTGTAAGTTAAGGACTGTCTGTCCTTAACTTTTGAACTTGCGTCCTTAACTATTTAACTTAACTTTAGGACTTCAAGACTACATTTCCTTAACTTTTGAACTTGAAACTCTAAGTTCAGGACCATGTCCTTAACTTTTGAATTTAACTTTAGGACTACATGTCCTTAACTTCTGGGAAGGAATTGCATTTCATGTTTACTCATCACTCTTTTTCTTATTTTTACAACGTCATATCTTAATCTTTTTTTAAAATCTGGAACTTCTCCCCATTCTCCTTTTGCTTTTGTGATCGTTCCCTTATGTTCTTCATGCTTGTTTAGCTTATCAACAAAAACTATAACCAAAGGCATTTAACATTCAGTAGCATTAATAGAAGTTTGTACCATTTGGTGCTCTCGGTGACCTTCCTTCCAATGGGTGAATGTGAGGTTTCGAATACACGATTGTGCACCTTAGATGCGGAAATGAAACAGTATAAATACACTGCATTTCCATTTGGGAAAAGAGATAGAAGAAAGTGTAGCACAGTCTTTTCATATTATTTTTAATAGACTAGTGGCTACTATTGCTAAGCATTAAAAATGTTGGATAAAAAGTAAATACCAGCTTAAACAGTGGCTACCCCACGCCATTTCTACTAATATTTTAACGTAAAAACATGGGGCCCCATCATGTTGAATAACTGATTTGGTTACAACAACAACAACAACAACAACAACAACAACAACAACAACAAC